TGTCTCAGCCGGCCCCGCCTGCCGGAGCAGCCAGATGGGCTGGGGAAGATTTTTTGTGCGCGGCTGCACAGGCGTGCTCCTTATCACGAACTATGCCTGAGATGTTCACAGCTGCCCTTACCCTGTGGGCGCGACCGTCCCCTCACTTGCTGTGAAACTGCTCAGTCTTCGTTTTACTGGAAGAAACAAAGGAGACGAAATTCACCCGGAAACTGATGCTGCTTAAGCCCTGTGCTGGCTCTATGAAACTCGACAAACTCCCGTCTCCGCTGCCCTGCTCAGACACGGCTTACAAACCCTGGTGGATTTTCCAGACCTTTGAAACTCTTAAAATCAGGTGCGCTACACAGAGTTGCTTGACCATGCCTGGTATTCACTAAACCCCTTCCTCTCCCATTGACTTGGGTACGCGCAAGAGCATTCAGGTTTAGGCCACAACTAACTCTGCCCATGTGTTCGGTGCGCTGGTATTTGCCTCGCCTCGCCAGTAGAGTGAAGGAAATCTCCTAAGTGTGTTTAACAGGCCCTTGTCAAATCGTCATTTCCTTGTGAAATTAAAATGATTACCCAATCAACCAGTGACACTCGGCCTTAATTGTGACAATGGCCTGTCTCAATTTCGCCATGCAAGCTGTGGCCAGTTTTCCTGTCGCGCTCACTAAACAGCCTGGTTAAAATAGTTTTCATCTCAAAATAAATAAGAACATAAGCACGGCCAGACTGGGTCAGACCAAAGGTCCATGTAGCCACAGTCCTGTCTGCCCACATTGGCCAAAGCCAGGTGCCCCAGAGGGAGAGAACAGAACAGGTAGTGATCAAGCGATCTTTCTCCTGCCATCCATCTCCACCCTCTGACAAACAGGCTAGGGACACCATTCCTACCCATCGTGGATTAATGGACTTCACCTCCATGAATCTATCTAGCTCTTCTTTGAATCCTGTAAAGTCCTGGTCTTCACCACATCCTCTGGCAAGGAGTTCCACAGGTTGACTGTGTGTTGCATGAAGAAATACTTCCTTTTGTTTGTTTTAAACCTGCTACCTCTTCATTTCATTGGATGACCCTTAGTTCTCATGTTGAGAACAAGTAAATAACTTTCCCTTACTCGCTTTCTCCACACCAGTCATGATTTTATAGACCTCTATCACTTCCCCCCTTTGTCTCCTCTTTTCTAAGCTGAAAAGTCCCCGTCTCTTTAATCGCTCTTCCTTCCAAGCCCCTGATCCTTTTTGTTGCCCTTTTCGGAACCTTTTCCAATGCCGATAGATCTTTTTGGAGATGAGACGACCACATCTGCATGCAGGATTCAAGAAGTGGGTGTCCCTTGGATTTATAGAGAGGCAATACGATATTTTCTCATTCTCTATCCCTTTCTTAATGATCCCCAACATTCTGTTGGCGTGTTTGCCGGCCGCTGACCATGGCATGGATGTTTTCAGAGACCTCTCCTCCAAGATCTCTTTTCATTCACACTTTCTGGGAGGCGGGGGAGAGTCACTGTGCTGCAGACAGCCAAAGCAGGCTACTTTCCGGTGGTTCTGAATGCTTGGGGGTTAGAACCGAAAGTGGGTTGCAACACTGTTTGTAGCAAGGTGCTAGATTGCGACCACCGGATTTTTTGTACTTGCGTGTGCTCCATTTTCCTACCTTCTCTTTGGCTCTTTTCATCTAGGCTCTTACTGGGAAGGCGGGCTAGCCATCTCAACCGTCTTTCTTGGCTTTTTCTCAAGGCTTGTCTTCCCGCAAGCCACCGGCTTTGTGTCTGGCGTCACCAGGGATCCAGCTGGCAGGTGGAAGTACAATCCAAGGGATGGTCCCGTTTCAATCAGGTTCACACAGGGACGCTCTGAGACAGTGGGTGCATTCCGGCGAATTGAAGACTACATGATTCATGCCAAATCTGTTGACACAGGCAGAGTGAGCTCACAGCCACCTACCCCTGGGAACGCTCCAGCCTGACGATGAGCACATCGAAGGACCTGCAGGCTGTCAGAATGGGGGACGAGCCCCGAAGGGCTGCGAAAACACCCTGACTTCCCGTCCCCTCGCAGTCGCGTGAGGGGTGGGTGAGATTCTGTGGCCTGCGCTGCGCAGGGGGTCAGACTAGATGATCATAATGGTCCCTTCTGACCTTAAAGTCTATGAGTCTATGAGGCCGGGAGGGTCCCAGAAAGGTCGTGGGGTCCCGGGTGGGCCCGCGTTCGGGTCTCTCCGACCCCAGGGCGTACCCTGACTTCCCGTCCCCTCGCAGTCGCGTGAGGGGTGGGTGAGATTCTGTGGCCTGCGCTGCGCAGGGGGTCAGACTAGATGATCATAATGGTCCCTTCTGACCTTAAAGTCTATGAGTCTATGAGGCCGGGAGGGTCCCA